TGCACAGCGAATCGCGGCGCCTGAGACGACTGGCCCACCCGTGTCCGCGAATACATATGAACACACTGTAGTTGACTTAAAGGAACACCGTATACATAGAACACCGACTTCTTTTGCGAACTCGGTATTAACGAAGTTTCTCTGGACAATTAGACATATATACTGGCCTAACCTCGCGTATAATATGTCATATCTGTGTATAATATGTTGTTCTTCTCATTCATCAATACACTACACAGGGTGCACTTAACACATTTATTTCATTAAGCGTCATGGTGTAGCTGGTGATTGATATAAGACGTATTTATGCACATTGAAAAAATGCTCATCAAATTACGATGCGAAACAAAAGTTACTATGGCAACTAAGAGCTTTACTGTGATTAATGGATGATTAATCCTTTGAAAGTAACGCACAACATGCTTCATGGAGCCCCATCATCAGTACCTATTTAACGCTGGGGATGATGTGAGGTGAAATGGGGTTAAGCGTCGCGTTCAAGATTATGGCACGTATATAGCAACGTGCATGCACGTGTGTGTGTGTGTGTGGCTGCGTTTACTAGTCCGGACCAATGCCGATTTTATAGCGTTAGCCCCCTGCGATACCATGCCGCACTGCTCGATTGAGCTGAGGTTAACTTGCGCTATGTCACGTGGCACCCATTGGCTCAGAAAAAGTGTGCGGGTTTTTGCTTTGAAGCGGAGTATAAAGGATTTATTCTGTATAAAAAGTATAAAAGATTTATCCCCCCGCTGAGGCGTGTTACACAGTATTTTATCAAGATCAAGTAGATCAATCAGATCTCATCATTCTGACATAGAGGTATGATAAATAACTTTATGAATGGGCATGGTATTAATTATCTTTCAAGACGTTGTACATAAATAAATAATGGGCTCAACATTTTATCTATGTGGGAATCGAACCTGGACCTCGACGTGACTACTCAACCATCCTCCGTTATCTCTGACTTCCCTTGAGTGAGCTAGTGAGTTGGGTTTAACGCCGATTTTAACAGTATTCCAGTTATATCACGGCGTGTCAACTTAATGTTGGAGGAAAGCCCGAAGTGATGCAGGTTTCAGACGTTTACCACTTTGGTGAAACCCACGAGCATGGGTATGGTTCTGACAAACCTAGAAACATAATCGGGGCGAACCAGGATTCGAACCACCAATCATAGGTTTCTGGCGTGCCCAAGGGACGCAACTCTGCACAGCGAATCGCGGCGCCTGAGACGACTGGGCCCCCCGTGCAACCCGTGGTCTGACGAACGAACACAATGACCACGACGCTGCCTCATCTCTATGATGATTCAATCAATTACATATATACTTGTTTTGTTTTGTTTGTTGTTTAACGCAACAATTGTCAATATTCCAGCTATATGACAACGGTCTGTACATAATCGAGTTTGGACCAGACAATCCAGTGATTGACAACATGAGCATCGATCCACGCAATTGGGATCAATGACATGCATCAACCAAGTCAGCGAGCCTGACCACCCGATCCCGTTAGTCGCCTCTTACGACAAGCATGGGTTGCTGAAGACCTATTCTACCCCGTATCTCTACGGGCCGATTACAGATTGAAACTAAACACACAATAGAACAGCTTTTCAGTGAGAGGATGAATATTTTAAAAAAGCTAATCGGTGGTCAAAAACATTTATGATATGAAAACGTATACTCTTAAAGCAAACAGGAAAGCTTAATGTGGTGATGCTACTGACATGTGAAATACAATGTCATTTCTTAACCCCGCAACAGCCGACTTAATAGCCCAAACGGAACAATACAGAACTGTAATGTCCCATGAGAACAACGCGATCGATGCACTTAAAAAGATATGAATGGTTTTAAATGCATGGCGGTTCTCCTGTGCCATGCCACGACAATCTGGAGCACAATGAAACAACGTCCTCGGATGACTGGAAGCAGGAGAATCGCAGAGCACCAACTCTAGACTTTAATATCGGTGCCAGCAGCATTGTACGTCACTTGACCGTCGTTAAAGCTGAACACACGAGATACTAAGTTTCCATCATTGTGGCCTTCATACGTTTCATGGGGCGGTCGGGTAGCCTAGTGGTTAAAGCGTTCGCTCGTCACGCCGAAGACCTGGGTTCGATTCCCGACATGGGTACAATGTGTGAAGCCCATTTCTGGTGTCCCCCGCCGTGATATTGCTGGAATATTGCTAAAAGCGGCGTAAAACCATACTCACTCACTCACTCATACGTTTCATGTAATGTCTTCATATTGGCGTTTTTATCCACAGTTGTCTTGTGAATAATATTAATGAAACACCTTACCATTTCAAAATCAGTGTAAATAATACACATTTGCACACATCAACAACACGTCGTGTCATCACTGATGAAGATGCTTTGCCCTATTATCAGGCAACAAAATATCACTGACTGTCTGGTCGTCTGTCCTTCATATAACATTTGACGATTTGACACTTATTGACATTCAGTTGGTTGTGATGTACACTATATTGTCTCTATATTAAGAGGCGTTGTTTACACGATGATTGACCTCGTCTTCAGCTTGTCTGTTGCATTGCAAATGGTAATTAATGTCAATGGTATAAGATAAACACAATATTTACGTTGTACAGGTGAGGTGAGATTAGGCTTATCTTTGGGACTGGTCATTTATTTAATAATTTTTCCGGGGTAGGGTTTGGTGTTTGATTGGAGGCGGGAGGGTTGGAAGGGGGGTGGGGGCGGTCTTGAGACCACGCATCTTATTTTGGTGACCCCAATTTTATACATTCTGAGTCTCTTTTTTCATGCCTCCCCTTCCCTATAAAATAAATGACGTGAATAATTTTCAAATATATACTACCGAATATATGAACTATTGATTTGAATGTATCTTTGAGGTTACATTAACAGTACTTTGGTGTTGTATCTGAACTCATGAAATTTAACTCATGCATTTAACTCATGCATTTAACTCATGCACTTAACTTCATGCATTTCATGCATGCGAGCACAGAGGCGGCAGTGTTTGCCCTCATCGGGAAACACACAACTCTTATGCAATTGAGATAAGCACACGCTAAAAATGCTTTCGCGACAGTACCTCAATGAACAAACACAGTGGCGAATTATTAGTTCGATAGAGATGGGGACGTCTATATCCCAAGCTGCCCGATTGTTTGGCAAATCAGAAAGCGTATTTTCTCGACTGTGGGGCAAGTACCGGCAAATGGTGGGGTTGCTATGAGACCTGGGCCCACTTGCACAAAGCGATCTTAGCGCTACGACTATTGTAAGCCTATGTTAAAGTATGGGAGTTAAGATCATCTTAGCGCTAAGATCGCTTTGTGGAAGTGGGCCCTGGGCGTTGCAAGCCTTAACAAAGGACACCAAGATAAGGTCACCTCATTACCATAGTTGCACTAGGCAATAGATTCAAATCTGCTTCTGTTAACAATGGAGAATTCCGTACAATAACAGCAAGGCGCATTTCAACATCTACCGTTAAATAATTGTATTGCAGGCCGTGACGGTTTCACATGAACATGTAGGGCTTGATATACAGGTCGTACGTATGATGGTGGTAAGTGCTCAAGAATTGTCTTTGTACCCCTCAGCCCCTTGGGGTTGATGTCCATTGCTTGGTTCCTGAGAAAAAGTCATTTAAAGCAATATCCCCGGTGGTGGGGGTAGGGTTCAGCCACTCAATTTCTCCAATTTGAATCCCCACCATTGGAGAATGCGTCCATCTCCTAGTTCCAGAGAGAAAGTCGTTTAAAGAAATAACGCCAAATTACCCATATCTTGCCCCGCCCCTTTGAGGGTCAGCCTCACCATTTGTGCAATTTTGAATCCCCACCACCTGGGGATGCTTCCAGTCAAATTTCGTTAATTTCCAATTAGTGATTCGGAAGAAGAAGTCCTTTGAATAAATTGTTGACGTACGGACGCCGGACGCCACGGTATGGCATAAGCACACCCGGTGAGCTAATAATCGAGTCTGGACCAGGCAATCCATTGATTGACATCATGAGAATCGATCTACCCATTTGAGATACAATGACATTCATCAAGCAAGTCAGCGTGTCTGACCACGCGATCCTGGAGTCCCATCTTACGACAAGCATTGTCGCCTCTTTCGGCAAGCATGGGTGGCTGAAGCCCAATTCTAACCCGGATCTTTACGGCTGGCGTTGGTAAGCACACATGTACATGCGTTGAAAAATATAGTCAGTGTCGCAATTGTTGCTTATTGTGATTCGAAAAACCCAGCATCAGGGGTGAACGTCGCTTTAAAGATTATTTTATTTATATAGCTACGTGCATGCACTTGTGTTTGACTGCTTGTACTAGTCTGGACGCAGGTTTTACTACACTGCTAGCCAACTGAGATACGATGAAGCAGTTCAACAGACTGCACGCCGACTAATCCGAATTGTATCCACTTAATGACAATCACCAGGCAAGGTCACAACAAGTACCACATTTTAACGTATTTGGGGTTGACGCGAATTGGGATAGAACCACCGACTTTCCACTCGCCTGACAGACGCTCTATCCACTACACCAAGGACGCGGTCCCATTTCCCAAAATGACATTTCCTGTCTGTTCATCTTTGTCATGTCTGCGAATCGCGATGTTTATTGCCTAGTTGGGGATTCGTTTTTGGGACGGGATCCTCGGAGAAACAGTAATCTGACTGGCTGATGGATCGGTGGTTAAGTGGCCGCTTCTAACAAGTAAAAACTTGGATTTTTTCTCTTATAAATATATGCTTGATATCACAGAACCCATATATCCCGTGGGTGTCAGTGAAGAATAATGATTTAGTTTTAATAGTAATTTACTTTTATGCAAAATATACCCTCGAACCCAGCTACATATTTTGACGTTAATATAAGAACCAGAAGCCTATTCTAACCCGAATCCCCATCGGGTATTCGTAAATGTACCTTTTTATTCCAGATGTAGATGCACGTGTCAACAATCCCTGCCTAAATAATGGAACTTGTGAGGCGAAGAAGGGCGAGTTCACCTGCATTTGTCAACCAGGTTACAAGGGACCTGAATGTGAAACAGGTAGCGTTATTTAGAGTGTTTGTTTGTTGTTTAACGCCGCACTGAACAATATTCCAGCTTTATGACGGTTGTCTATAAATAATCCAATCTGGATCAGACAATCCAGTGATTAACATCATAGCATTGATCTACGCCATTGGGATACGATGACATGCATCAACCAAGTCAGCTAGCCTGATCACCCAGTCCCGTTTTTCGCATCTTAAGACAAGCATAGTCGCCTTTTACGGCAAGCATGGGTTGCTGAAGACCTATTCTACCCCGAATCTTCACGGGTCTTAACACATTGAGCATACAGTGAATTGCTTTAATCCTGATAGTGTGGTTCCGACCCGTGAAGAACCGGGGTTAGAATTGGACTTCAGCAACCCATGTGCTTGTCGTAATATTCGACTAACAGGATCGTATCGTCAGACTCGGTGACTTGGTTGATGCATGTCATCGTATCACAATTGCGTGGATCGATGCTCATTATGTCATTCACTGGAATGTCTGGTTCAGACGCGTTTATTTACAGACCGCCGCCATATGGTTGGAACATTGCCGAGTGCGGCGTTAAAAAAAACAACAAACAAACAAACAACACACAACTGTGGTTCCAAGTGGAATCGTCCTGATTTACAAATTTCCTGATTAAAGCCTTGGGATTCTTGGTATTCCCTTTAAATAATAACAATTCCAAAAGGCAATCGCCAAGAAGATATTTTTTAGATTAACGGGATCAAGACAAACGGCACACTTGCTTTCGTTGTGTGTGGTGTGTTCATTGTGTAACTGGATCATAGTTTGCTCTTAGAATTAATGTGAAAACAAATTAAATGTAAAAAGAAAACCACGAAATATTTTTAATCAGACTTGATTGTTCACATGTCGCCGTGAAATAGATAGTATATTGCTCACTTACTCATATGCCTCCCAGAGTCTTCAAGAAAATGAACTATGAATGTGATCTTCACAGTTACCTTGGTTTAATTCAATGTTTGTCCGGATCGCCTTATTCTCATGTTCATAACGATGTACGTCAATCTCATGTGCTATGTTACAGATACTGGATCTGCTCATCATAATGGACATTTCTACCTCTGTCAATCAAAGTGAATATGAGAAAATGAAGACCTTTGTGGTGGATGCCATGAGCAAGATAAACATAAGCTCAGCTGGAACTAACGTGGCTTTCATGGTTTTCTCGGGAACAGCTGAAGTCGTATTCCACTTGAATACATTCCGTGACAACAAGGCAAGCGTCATGACAGCCATCAGTTCTCAAAAACACAAAGGTGGGAGCACATTCCTCGGGGATGCCTTTGAATTAGCAACGTCTGAAGTCTTCACAGAAACCAATGGCAATCAGTCTGACGCCGAAAACGTGGTACTTCTCTTCACTGACGGGAAAACCAGCGCTGATGAAGATGTGCAAAGTAGCATTGATGAGTTGAAAGCTATGGCGGAAGTATTTGTGGTGACAGTCACCGCAAAGTCGGACAACACTACCGTCGACTTCGTAGCTTCTTCCCCAGCTCTGAGTCACGTGTTTCACATCGATGCTCCTGAAACAGCCAGCAGCATCAAGAACGTCACCACGGGCGAGACATGAGCAACGATACCTCCTGCGTAAATTGTCACTTCCAAATAAATAACTTGCATAAATTCGTGAGATGTTAGAACAAAGTTATACAAATACAATAGTTTTGTCATTTTTTATTTATTTTTTTAAACGAGCCTTCACAAAATTTATTCCCGCTGTATGACAGCGGTCTGTAAATAATCGAGTCTGGACCAGAAATCCAGTGATTGATATAATAAACATAGATCCACGCAATTGGGATACGATGACATGCATCAACCAGGTCAGCGAGTCTGACCACCCGATCTCGTTTGTCGCCATAGTCGCCTTTTACGGCAAGCATGAGTTGCTGAAGAACTATTCTACCCCGGATCTTCACGGGTCTGAGGGAAACATGTGCCTACCGGGGTCCGGAATGTGCATACATGTACTTATAGTGTTTCAGTGTTGAAAGTTGGCTGTCTCATCGATGACATGTTTACACAACAAAAGACTTCAAAATTCCTTTTCATACACGGGTCGTGAGTTCGGGTGAGGATTTTAGGGGTGTCCACCCTACCTCCTTCTTTAAGCATATTGTAATTCTATAATGTTTTCAACACAAACATGAAAACGGCGTTATCACTATTCCGCGCCAGGGTCACATTACAATAGGATGTGTTTACCTCAATGCTAATTTTCTGAAAGCATGCAGTGTAAACAGGATGCACACAATTTAAAAACATGTAGCAAGCTAAGTAACTCTGGAAAAAAACATAATTTAGGGTACCAAATTTCGAATTCAGTTTTGACACGTATCCCTCAGATAAACATGCAAAGTTTCATTCATTGTACTTCAGCCGATTTCTGAGGAAACGTTTCCACATTGCTGCCCCTATGCACTAAGTAAAAAAAACTTGGATCAAGGGCCGTAGCTAGGTAAAAGAATAATGTACGGCACCAAATTTCGCCTTGACAAGAATCTCTTAGATAAGCGTGCAGTCTTTCATTCATGTATCTCCTGAAGTTTATGAGAACAGTTGTCCCCGTACATTATGTCTGTGACAAATCTGCGCCTGGCGTCTCGACTGTTCAACAGCCTAGTACCCGTATTCAGCCTGCGTCTAGACTGTCCAACGATCGTGTGCCAGTATCCAGTCTACGTCTAGACTGTCCAACGATCGTGTGCCAGTATCCAGTCTACGTCTAGACTGTCCAACGATCGTGTGCCAGTATCCAGTCTGCGTCTAGACTGTCAAACGATCGTGTGCAAGTATCCAGTCTACGTCTGGACAGTATAACGGTATTGAACCAGTATCCAGTCTGCATCTGGACAGTATAACGGTATTGAACCAGTATCCAGTCTGCATCTGGACAGTATAACGGTATTGAACCAGTATCCAGTCTACGTCTAGTTAGTATAACGGTATAAACCCAGTATTCAGTCTGCATCTGGACAGTATAACGGCGCTGAACCAGTATCCAGTCTGCGTCTAGTCAGTATAACGGTATAAACCCAGTATTCAGTCTGCGTCTTGACGGTCCAGCGGTCTTTTACCAGTATCATGTCTACGTCTAGACAGTCTATTGGTATAGAACCTGTATCTAGTCTGCATCTAGACAGCATTAAGGTTGTATACCTTTCCAGTCTGCATGGAAACTGTCTAGCGGTCTTGTACCAGTATCCAGTCTGTGTCTAGAATGGCTATGGTCTTGTGCCAATATCCAGTGTGCATCCATCAAGACTGTTTAACGGCCTTATTCCAGTATCCAATATACATCTCGACAGTATAATGGTCTTGTGCCAGTGTGTGTACGGTGTGTGTGTGTGTGTGTGTGTGTGTGTGTGTGTGTGTGTGTGTGTGTGTGTTGGTTTCTTCGTGATCACTAGCGATTGAACAAGGATATAAGCTTGTTTTTTTCTGTTACATTCAGCTATATTACGGTGGCCTGTGAGTAATCGACTATGGGTCAGAAAAAAGCAGTTATTGACATCACGAGCATTGAGCCACGCATAATTAGGATACGTGAACAAGCAAATCAATCAACTTACCGAGCCTGATCATGACCCCCAGGTCCATTAAGTCGCCTCTTATGACAAGCGAAGGTGGCTAAGGATCTATATCTATTTCTCTCCCGGAATCCCGACTGGTATTAGCGGTCTATTTGCTATGTCAGTAGTGATCCTTCATACGTGATATGTTTCTCGTTTCAAATTAAAGTATACAATGCAATGCACTATAATATGACATTCGTGTCACAATAGTCCCCCAATTTATCTTTCACGGGCCGAGTATCTTATCACCCATTGTATATGCTGTTCATCACCGCGCCGAAACATGACCATGGAACTGCACAATGGGGGGGGGGGGGAGTTTGTTTCTTATGTAAAATGGATAATTGAAAGAACTGTTACACAAATTTAATGTCTATTTAACACATTCCTTCAACAGATTGTAAAAAAGTAATCTTTGGCTTTTGTGTAAAAATAAATTGGTTCAATAAAGACTGGGGTAAGAAATGTATTTGCAGCCATAGTAGTCCTACATTTTTTAAATGTTTATTTTTGCCGAAATAATTTTTTGATTGATTTTCAAAGATGTGGAAGGTGGCCACCAGCAGTTGTGTATTACGCGATTTGTTTCTTCTAATTTCAATTTCAAAAAAGTCATTTTTTTCTGAAAAATATAACCATGTACACGTTTTCTTTGAGCGATGACTGAACGTCAGTCCAATTCATTTTCTGGGATGTAGTATCGCTGACTTAAGATCTTTGCAATTGAAAATGAAACATATGATAAAATAAACTGAGAGATACAGTTTCGTTTCCTCTGAGATGCACAAATAGGATGCAGTTCAACTGCTGATTGATGGCGTGTCCAGGCATCGTTAATTATTTACAATTGTACATTCACTTAAGTGTATTTCGATATTTTTTACAGTTTTGTTACAAACGTGATACATCATCTATTCTGTGGTTGTAAACTCATTGATTTATGTTTTTTTCTATTATCAGTCAATAAGAGCTCTGCTTGGTATCGGAAAATAAATACAAACCAAAAGACAATTTTTTACTTCGCCCCCTTCAAACATACATGACGTCATGCTGCAGATAAAGCGGAAAATGGCCAATTGATATTAAGAAAATAAAGATGACGCATACACATACAATGATTAATCATTGCAATGAGTGACACAATGAGTTGAGGTCACAAGTTACACCGGTTTGAACTATATTTCATTTCTAGCACGGCTTGTCAGAGCTCGTAATAAACGCTTTTTGTCCTGGGGGAGGTGGGGTAGTCTAGTAGTGAAAGCGTTCGCTTGTCTCGCCGAAGACCTGGGTTCAATTCCCCACATAGGCACAACGTGTGAAGCCGATTTCTGGTGTCCCCCGCCGTGATATTGCTGGAATATTGCTAAAAGCGGCGTAAAGCCATACTCACTCACTGACGTTTTATCCTGGACCGATTCATTAAGAAATATCATGCGAGAGACTTTATACCCTAAGTGATATATACTTCAGAAAAAATGATTATCATCACAGAAGATTTCTTTGTTGTGAAATCATCTACTGTCGATAGTCAGCTTGTCCCGAACTTCGGTTTACTACGGATCATAGACATATATGTAGGTGCAGCTTACATGTATGTGCTGGAACATCTGAGACCTGCGCGCATCACCCCCGGATTTTCCCCTACAACTAGCTGACACGCCATGAAATAACAGAAATACTGTTAAAGGTGGCGTTGAACCCAACTCACTCTTCCGATTACGAAAGATGTTCCTGTTAGATCTTTACATTTGTGCAATTTGATTATTTTCTTTCCACTGTTTGGATGATGTGTTCGGATCAGGTGTGTGATCCTCTAACTTCTCCAAGAAAATGAATAGCAATAGCTAGGGCTGTAGGGAAAAGATAACACAAACCCGGAAGGAAGTGCTGTTAATTAAGCAGAATTGACGTTTATGTCGCCAGCGTTACATCTCACTTGAGAGCAGGCGATGAGCTGATGTGCTGTTTGCGTGACTGTTGATGACAAGTTCACAGCAGTTGGTGCGGACAGTTAATTAGGCTCTGCTAGCACTTCTCCGTGTGGTCATTTATTAATTCCGCGGAGCTATGTTTTGAAAATCCAATAAGTAAAACGCATATTTGGTATTACCCTTGTACATCTGCACGTTATTTCGTAATCGGTTTTAAATAACATCTTATATTTTTCGTTTAAATAAACAAAAACGAGATTGTTTCTGAGTGATACAGATTTTCTTAACATGAGACTACAGGACTATAGGAGTGCAAAGTCATCAATGAATATATACAATTAGCTTAATAAACATTACAAGTGGGGCGACATACTAAGTTTCATATATAAACACACACAATTGCTTAACGATGGATTAGTGAAATGATGCGCATCAAGATACCGAGTTTGTAATTCTGAATATTGTTGGCACACGAACAAGAAATGATATTCATTTTCGACATAGTCCAATCCAAATTTTACACTGTATTTGCATAAACATTCTTCTTTGACTTCACCTTTGTGTGTTCCTCTCTCGATTCTGAGCTTATGTTGCGAGGATCGATGTTCATGATATCAATCACTGGATTGTCTGGTCCAGACTCGATTATTTACAGACCGCCGTCATATAGCTGGAATATTGCTGAGTGCTGGAATATTCTGAGCTTATGGCAATCACAACGGAAACGAGTTAAATATATCATTTGAGGTTTACAGTCAATGTACTTTATTTAAGTAGAGACCCGGTTCAAGAGTTTATATGAAAGTTGAATAGGCTTGGAGTTTAGATTTAATGCATGCTTTTTTCTGCTTGTCGTGCTGAAGTAAGTTGCTGCTCTTGTCCAGGTTAGTTTTGGCGTGAAGAATAAATCCAGGTACTTGCAATTGTGAGAAGTGACTGTTTCTAATTGATTTCCTCTGTGATGCCATTTTTCGTTGTGCCGTAGTGGTCCTCCATTGCTGAAAATTATGATTTTTTTTACATTTAAAGCCATACCCCATCTCATACAAAAATCACTGATACAG